ATGCTAGAAGGCTTGCTTGGACCAGGCATCTAGTTAAGCCAACAAGAAGAGATCTTCATTAGCGATAAAGAAAGGGAGCCTCCTTCAGTCTGTTGCTGTGTGATTCCAAACAAGTGTCCCAGCCTCCCTGTCCTCAATCCTAACACTCGGTAAAATGGAAGAGTTGATTTTTGTCCCTGCCACTCCACAAGCCTAGCCGTTCATGAAGGAGGGGCCTGGATGAGAAAGCAGGATGGGGTTGGGGAGGAGGAGCTGAAGAACAGGAGGAAGAGGCCAGGGACTAAATATAGCCCCCACCAAGACTGGGACAAGCTGACGTCGTCGGCCAGCTTTGGGACTCCAGGGGAACCGGCCGGCTCGTGCTCACGTCCTTCCAAGTCTTTTGAGAAGAGGAAAAAGCCCAGAGTCAGGCCACCAGGAGACTCTGGCTTGTTCTGGGATTATCGTAGGTCCCCGGACAACTGCTTCCTAAAATATTGGCTGGGCTCTCTGGGCGCTTCAAGCATCAGATCAGTTGGCAGTTGAGTTAAACACAAGCAGGCCAGGTCACAGGCAGGCACGGGCTCCACGTTGTCCTTCCACTTGGGGCCAGCCTGCCCGGGCCAACTTTCAACCTTCCTGCGTGCCGGCTATGGCGGAGACCCCAGTTTCTTCACCTGCAGTTCTGTTTCCAGGTCCACGCAGAGCCATGCAACCAAGGACAGTACCAGGTGAATGGTCGGTGCTGTGATTTGTGCCAGCCAGGTGAGAGCCCAGCCCTCCAGCCCCTTGGTGGGGCCCCTCTTGCTGACCGAAGCAAACCCGTGTCTGCAGCCAGCCCCTGGGAGGGCCCGTCGCTGCCCAGCTACCAGAATGTTCTGGGCTCCCTCAGTCAGACAGAGCGCTGCTCACCCAAGATGAGGGTTCCCTTCTCCTCCATCTCCCGCTTCAGTCTGTGGAGAATAGGGGAGTCCCAGGCTTACCCCCAAGGCTGAGAGGTGCCTGACTTTGACTTGGCCTTGGCCGGAGCTACCTCACTTCCTGCTGTTTTCCAGGAACGATCCTGATGAGTGACTGCGCCGAGGGCATCAGCACAGACTGCCGT